ATTGGGTACACTTGGTATCTCTTCCTAGATGATTTGAACTTTATTAGCTTTAACTGTTCAGATTTCAAATAAAACCTCAGAAGGCCAGCTAGCTACCCCACAATACTTTTTGTCCTCCGACTAGTTAGTCAGAGCAAAACTTCCAGCCAAGTTAGACTACCAAAACATGTCTGTTGTGATCTGCACAAATTAATATATTTAAAAATCAGCAAATAGGGTGAGTATCATGTATTTTATTTTCCGTGTTTGTTTTCAATATGTATCTTTGGATTAACATTCATTCCGAACTGTTTTTGTCACTGATGTACATGTCACAGTTCTGTTCAGCACCTGATTGTCAATCTTGAGCTCCAGTAATGTGGTGTTGTACTGCAGTGACTCAATGAGGGCGAGGATTCCAGTCCCTGTTATAAAGTTCGACTCAACATTCAGGCTCTTCAGTGTCGTGTTAACCTTGAGCATCTCCGCCAGGGCCTGACAACAAATAAGAATAATTGTCATTTTGTTCTTTTCTCTGGCAACATACACACCGTACCCTGCCCCTCTAGATTCCAAAAGTCAACATATCGTGCAAGCATCAAAACATGAACCCTGTGGCTCTGTTTTTGCTTTTTAGAAGGTTTTGTGTGGGTATAGTAACACTTACGCCAAAAGATGGAACAGCCCCCACAAGGGGTGTTAATAAAAGCAGAGATATGCTTTTCAGCGCCGACTTAACCTGTTTTTTTCCCCCTTACACTCCCATATGAATGAAATAGGTGAAGCATATAGTATTTCAAAGGGGAAAAAAAAGCTAAATGTTATGAACTTACAAATGCTACAGGGTCATTGCTTCTGGTTCCAACGATACTCAACCTCTCCACCGCCGTGTTCTCTATCAGAGCCTGAGCGTACGCCTTTAAAGTCGGGATGGGAATGTTCTAAAAGAAAAAGAAAAAAAGAAAGCAGCACCACATGGGAACATAACAGCTAACAGATTAGTATCATGAAATAAATGTGTCCTAAAACACTGTCAATGACCATGTATATAACAGACACAGACACACTTTGCTACCTTGATGTTGTTGAGGTTGATCTCCACAAG